TATTGTAGAAGAAATCCCTCAGCTAGAAACGCCCTCAAGAAGAACTGAGCTTTGAGTGAGGTGCACACTTCATGTATAGATGACACGTCATGTATAGTTGATGTCTAGGAGCACTTATCCAAGACTGGAATTGTCATGTAAAGACTTGCATCATCGGTAATCGCCTTTGCCGTTTGCACTGTGTCACTGGACGCCAACCTGATTTGGCTCAAGACTGGAAAAACTAAGGTTAGTTGCCCGCCATCGAAACGTCGCATCGACGGGTTGACGGGTTGATTGAACGTTGTGTTGAACTTCCAGGGAAGAGCAACTTATCTGGTTATCAGCCGCAGAGAGGCTACGAGACCACACACACACACGTAGAGTGAGACAGGCTTGTCAAAACGAGAACATCGGCATTGTGTTGAAACTTCTTTCGAACACTTGTTGCCTCGCGCTTCCGGGCGCGATCCATGCCACCGCGAGAACGATCGCGGCGTCGTCGTGGCCCACGGGGTGGTGATCCCAACAGGCCGAGTCAGCAGTCCAGAAGAGAACGTGGATTGCCGACAGAAGACAGAGAACAAGAGAGAAGCGATCGACGACGTGATCCTTGGGTTGAGCGTGGGCGTGATCGCGAGCGAGAGTACGCTCGCGAGAGCAGAGAGAGAAGGCCTGCCCGCGAAGATCCTCCAAGGCGGGAGGTGTATCGGGCGCAGAGCCCAAGACAACCAAGGTTTCCTCCTCCTGGTGTCGTAGAGACTTGGGAGACCAGACGACCACCAAGGCCAGTGTCGGAGTCCGAGGGCGATTCATTGGTTGAGGAGCGTTCTCGTGATCGTCGAAGGCGTTCGCAGACGCCGAGTGAACAGACAGAGAGATCCCGTTCGAGGCCTCGTGGTCGGTGGCAAAAGTGCTGGGTGTGGGTTCCAGAAGGTGGATTGAGCCCTGTCCGTGACGACAGCAGGGATCGAGAAGCGTCCCAGGACGACGAGGTTCCCGAGGAGGACGTGGAGCTTGAAGGTGAGAGTGTTGACACGGTGACAGGTGAGCCTCGTGAGACTCGTCGCGCAGCAGTTGGTGACATTGCTCCTGAGGTTCCCGGCGCATCGCCGGAAGTGGCATCAGGTGTTGACTTTTCAGCGACCGAGGATTCGATCGCGAGGCAGGCAACCGAGGAGGCCACAGAGCATTCGGTGTCGGCGGAACCGGAGACACTTCGTGAACGTGCCCGTGAGCTCCGCTCCAAGGCCCCTAGGCCATCTGCAAGCAAGCCTTCACCGTCAGTGAGCGAGGAACAGTTTGAGGAGAAGCCGCCAGTTGAAGAGCGTGTCAAACCTCCACCAACCGCAACATCGGCTAAGGCCAAGGTACGAAAGGAGTCAAGTGAGACTGGAGACATTGTGCGTGAGCAGTCAGCGGTTGGTGCATTGAAGCGTGCAATTGGTCGAGATACGCCTTCGCGTCACCGCGAAGGTGAAACCTCTTCTGGATCGGGTTTGAAGCGAGCCCTTGAGGAACTTCCAGTTCCGCCGCCTGTTCCTACAAAAGAAGAGATAGAGCAGACGGAAGCCGCCAGAAAGAGAGAGATTGAGAGCTTGCCGACTCCACCTCCGGCACCGAGAACTCCTCCTGTGCAGTTGACTCGTGCATCGTCGAAACCTCGCCTTACTGAAGAAATCCGACCAGTGGTTCTCGCACCGAGACCAAAAGAGAGACCGGTGCAGCCAGAGCAGACGGCGCCTTCTCCCTCATCCAGACCTCCGGAACCACGTGGTGCGCCGACGAACTGGCAAGATAAACCACTCGTGCTGCTGGACTTCCATAAAACCCTCAGCTTTCCGAACAACGACCCACCGGTGGCGGAGGCGACCGTGCAGACATTGAAAACGGTCAAGGAGAAAGGATTCTCCATCGGAATCCTCAGTTTCGCCTCGAATAAGGCCACTCAGGAAGGAGTTGCAGCTGGTGTCGCAGAGCTTGAGCGTCGACTTGGTTGGTCTTTTGACATTTTCGCGATAACGCGAACCAAGTTTTCTACAGACACCGAGCAAGGGGCATCGATTACAGGACACGTTGGAAGCAAAGCGAAGTTGGTCGCGCAGTTTGGCCCGATCGTATACGTTGACGACCAAGGGTCACTGCTGAACGACGTGCGCTCCCTCCAGCAGAACGCGCCGATCGGACACAAGACCCACTGCATTCGTGCTGCATTGTATCCGAGTGAGGCCTTGGTTCCACTTGAGAGGACACTCAGGACCTTTCCGAGGACCAGCGAGCTGCCCACCGCCAGAGAGCTGGGCAGGATCTTCGGAACCAGGTGAGACGAGGAGGAGACGACCGGTGTGCGTGTACATTGGTCGAGAGTGGGCATTGCATCGTTGGTCGATAAACCCTTCTGCAAAAGCTACGTGTTGGGTTGAGGCTGGCGATACATTGCTGTTGAATTCGGTGACATTGGTCAATAAACCTGTCAGCTAAGGCTACGAGTCGGGTTGAGGCCGTTGCTACAACATTGATCTTGTGTGGTCAAACATTGGTTGTGTTGAGGACACTTCATTGGTTGGTGGTTGAACATTGTTTCTTGTCGTTGGCCAGAGTCGTGCTACCTTCGCGTCTGGTCGCGTTCTCGCGACCGACGCGACTCGTTCGCCGCCTTTTGCGGTCCACTGCCCGAAATTCGCAGCTCTAAGCGCGTGGCAATAAACTCCGCGACAAACGTCGCGTGCCGGCAGTGAAAAGAGGAGGTGGTGCTGCTCAGTGTGTCGAGACAGTGTTGAGCTTTTGTGAACAAACGATTTGTAGTTAGTTGAGAGTCCTTCAACAGAGTCGGGTCGAGATTTGAGTGTGTTGAGATTGAGTTGACAGATTGAGTTGAGAGTCGTTGCATTGCACCGGATAGTCGATGTCAAAACGGTCGCTTCCTGCAACTCCCTTTCGTGTCGTCGGTCCTGAAGGCTCCTACGAAACCTCGAGTTCATCCATTTCTCCGGAGACTGGGCTTGCGAGGATGGAGGGTGATTTGGGAACTGGTGGAGGACCCGGGCTCCAAGTGAGCGTGCCGGCCAAGGGAAACACAAAGGTTGCAGTGAGTCGTATGCGGACCCAGAGTTCTGAACCTTCCCAACCTTCTGGGGTACAAGGTGATCCATCGACTGTTCCTGGGGTGCATGTTTATGATCAGAGAACCCTCAACCACCTACAAGTACTCAACCAACACAACATCGATCCAGAGACTCTTGAGAGAATTGTTCAGGGTTACGTTCAGTCGCAGTTGAACCATGCAGAACAGGTGATTCATACAGCATGAACGACAACAACATCAACTTGAGCAGCAAAATGCAGCACTACAGTTGAGCCTTGAACATCAACAGATGAACCAACACATACAACAACAAGAAGCCAACATGGCACAACAAGCACACAGCAGGATCAACCAGATCACAACAGAGGCACAAGCCGAAATACTCAAGCATCAGCAGATAGCAGAACAAGCACAACGCGAGATACAACGCGTGACAGCTGCAGCAGAAGCTAGGTGTCAAGACCTTGCACGAGAGAACGAAGCACTTCGAGCTTCGCCTGTTGCAGGCTATTTTGATGCGTGTCCGTCGGAAGCCGGAAGAGCCCCATCGGTTGCTTCAGCCTCGCCATTGAATGTTGTTTACTGCCATGTGTGTGGAAATCAAAATGTTGTTGGTCGTGGTTGGTGTTGGAACTGCAAAAGTAGTCTTGAAGAGCCCGAGAATGGTACGGACCCTTTTGAACCATCTTCTCATGAAAGATATATGTACCCAGTGCCTACGCGACCCTCTAGTGTCGCGACCATCAGGGAGCCAGTCAACATGCAAAGGAACATTGCGTCGCATGAAGGACAATCCCATGCAGAAGTTCCTCTTCCTCGAGCCCCTGGCGGTCCGGGACCGTATGGCATGCCGTGTGGTGCATTGCATGATGGTTCACATGTTCATCATCTTGGTGTTGATCCCAGGTTGGTCTATGGAATGTCGACCCCAAAGGCTGTTTCAGAGTCAGGGAGTGCTCCTGTTCCTGGTGTAGGATTTCAACGGGCCGTTCCGGCCATGCCATCGTTCCCAAGAGCTTCAATGGGACCGGCTTACCCACCAGGGGGGTACATCGGCACTATTCCAGAAGCACCTCCAGGTGTATCGTCATCAAGTCACCCACCGAACATCTCCATTGCGACACCTCGTAAGAAGGAGTCATCGGAGTCTGGTGAAGGATCAAGGAGCTCGGATGGTTCATCCGATGAAGGCTCAAGAATGCCGGCAGGCAACCCTCCTGAATCTTGGTTGCTTGACGGTGAAACCGAAGACAACGTGTACAAAATCAAGCATTTGAGAAACATCTCAATCACCAAGTTGCCAACAGATGCAACATCTTGTAGAGAGTGGCGTGCTGCATTGCTTGCGTCGGTGTCGCGCATTGATCTCACTGCGCGTGATGTGTTGTTCAAGTATACCTCTCATTGCATGGATGCCGGACGAGGTCGGACCTTCAGAGCTACGCTCCAGAATGACCAGTCGTTCATCCCTTTCAACAAGCGCATCGCCGCAGAGCTCATCAAGCAGGACGTCCTCTCCACCAACACGGATTTGGCCCATGAGCTCACCTCCTATGTTGAAGCGTGTACTGCAGTCAGTCAAGGTCCAAAAGGAATGGCGTTGTTGAACATTGTTGCGTCGTACTATGAGACTGGGTTGACTCATTCGGTTGCGCTTGATCAGATGCACTTGTTGTCGTTGACGCTTGCGGGCAGAAGTGCCAAGGACCTCACGGAGTTTGTCAGGAAGACCAACTACATCCTCCATGGTTTGAAGCAGTCGGATCGACCAGCCCCAGAGACATTGTTTCAGTGGCTGTGGCAACAGGTGAAGCGTGTGCCCATTCTTTCGCGAATCACTGACAAGGTTCGCGAGTCGTCCGGTCGTTCGAAGAAGAGAACCTTTGCATGGTTGTGGGCACAGATCGCGGAGGAGCTCAGGGAGCGTCGCCATGACATGAACTATGACAACATCTCCAAAGGCTTGAAAGACATGCCCAATGCGTCGCTTGCGTGTCCGTCGACTCAGGTCACCAAGGTTGAGAAGGCTCCCAAGCCACCTAAGGCTCCAAAGACTTCGAAGGAGTCGGAGGCATCGGCACTTCCCGCTGATGCAAAGGGTGGAAAGGGCAAAGGAAAGAGAACGCCGTGTGCTATGCATGCTGCTGGGTTGTGTCGCTTTGGATCGCATTGCAGAAACGAACATGTTGGTGATGCCGGCAGTGACGCAGCCAAGAAGGCGTACATGAAGTCTCAGGAAGGCCAAGGTGACCAGGGTTCCAAAGGAAAGGACGGCGAGGGCAAGGGTAAGGATAGCAAAGGAAAGGGAAAGAAGGGCAAGGATGGTGCTTCATCGTCCTCTGTGCCATCAGCGGCAGCTGCTGCGGCTGCATCCACTGTGACCATCACTGAGGTCAACGCGGAGGAGGTCATGGACATTTGGAAGAGCTTTTGTGAGTTTGCTCGAAAGGCGCTCCCGGCGTTGAACGTCTTCCTCAAGGTCAGCATCCCCATCCTTGCGTCCGTTGTCAACTCCATCGTCGAGAACCCGTGCATTGGTGTTGAGCAAGCTGCAGGTATGTTGCATCCAACGGTTGAGGACTTCCGCAACTTGTCGCTTGAATTCATTGGTGATACGGGCGCTGCACATGACATTGGGTCGTTTAAAGCGCTTGCCGATCAGGGTTTTGACCGTGAGATGTTGGAGCCTTGGTTGAAGTGTTTGGATAACCCTGTGAGGTTTTCCACGGGAGGAGGACCCCAAACTTCCTCGGAGGCGCTTCGCATCTATGCCAAGAGCGTGGGTGATTTGAACCTCCATTTGTTGAAGAACTGTCCGTTGGCCATGTCAATTGGCAAACAGGTCAGCAAAGGCCGCACCTTTGTTTGGGAGCATGGCAAAGTTCCGTTCATTGCTCTTGATCATAAGAAGTGCAGGGTATGGTGTCCCACAGAACATCGCTGGTATGCGAGAAGGGTTCAGAATGATGTGCCCATCTTCTCGTTGCACGCGTCAGGGGGGCCACAACAAGGACTGAACTTCAACCACAACAAGAAGCTGTACCAGCCCGCTGTTGTTGCTGAATGTCCTGAGTCGTGCTTTTGCGGAGACTGCCTTGAGCGGCTTCCTGCTTGTGTTTGTTCCATCTACCCGGAGGAGGATGCAGGCTTGAAAGTTGGAGACCAGGAAATCGCAGCTTCTAGCGCGTGTGAGGTGCCGGTTGAAGGTTTGGTTGTGACAGAAACAAACAAAGAGCATAGAAGGAGGCAGCATCGCAAAGACAACAAACGTCGCAAGTGGGAGGCCATGAAGAAGACCCGTCTTGTTGAGAAGGGGCAGAAGAAGCTTCCGCGTGGTGAGTTGTCTATGGTTGTGATGATGCGTGACATGGTTGAGTTCTACACCGCGCAGGCCCAGGCCAATAAAGGCAAGATAGCAAAACGCTTTGAGGCACTGGCCGTCGAGGTGATGAAGGAGCTCGAGAGTTTTGAACAACCACAAATGCAGACTGACCCAACCTGTTTGACTGCGAGCACTGTGAAGCAGCGTTCAAGGCAGACTGGCCTTAAGGGCCGTGGCATGCTCATTGAGTTGTGCACCGAGCCGGACTCGAACCTAGGTGTTGTTGGTGAGAGGTTGAACGTCAAGGTCACCCGTTGCACCAAGGAGGTGAACAATTTAGGATATGAGAGTACCACGTCACACCTGAAGAATTTCATTCGTGAACATCCAGGTATTGATTTGTGGGCTAGCCTTCCTTGTGGCCCGTGGAGCCAATGGCAATACCTCAATGCACACCGCTATGGGGCAGAGTTCAGAAAGAAGTTGGCCAAGTCGAGAGACTTGTCGTTGAAGCTGCTTGATCGCTTTTGTGAGCTTGCTAAATGTGTTGTTGAGCATGGTGGAGATGTTCATTTTGAATGGCCCAGACATGCATTGGGTTGGAAGCAGGCTGCATTGTGCCAGCTCATTCGAGACATTGGCATGACAGTGGTGAATTTTGATGGTTGTGCAGTTGGACTTGTTGATTGGCAGGGCACACCGTTCCTCAAGAAGTGGCGAGTGGCAACAACTAACGAGAACCTCGCGAAGAACTTGAACGAGTGTCGCTGCAAGCATGGTACTGATTTCAAACATGCACCTATCACAGGATCCAATACTAGCACGACTGCAAGATACCCAGAGATCATGTGTGAGATTGTCTTCTCTTCTTTGTTTCCTGACCTTGTTTTCAAGGAGGTGCCCGCCATGCCCGTTTGTGAGGCAGCTGTGTGCGTGGTTGCACAGGAGCATGTCGAGAAGGAGCCAGAGGAACAGGTCTACCGTGGACCGTTGGTCATTGAAACCGTTGATACCTTTGCAACTCCCGCCGAGCTTGAAGATGACCTTGCCCCTGCGGACGACGAAGCTGAATTTGCAGAGTCGAGAGATGATAGGTTGAAGCGTGAGGCAAAGAGCCTAGACCACATCACGACCCACGCGAAGAAGAATCCTTTTTGTGAACATTGTGTGCGTGGTCGGATGTTGAAAAGATATGCCCACGGAGTTCGACCTGAGCCTAGTGATGAAGCGTATGAGCGCTCGGCTGCTTTTGGCCGTGTGCTCGAAGCCGACCACATGTTTCCGTCGGAAGAGAGCGTGAGCAACGCTGGGGAGAAGGTGGCTCTGGTGATCGTTGATCTCTTCTCCGGTCTGAGCATGGCCTATCCGGCCAGAGACAGGTCAGAAGAATCCTGTTACAACTCTTTGAAACACTTCGGTGGCCATAGGTTGAACGGTGATACCGGTGTCATTTTTAAATCAGATGCAGCCGGTGAGTTGACCGGAGCGGCGTCCAGGCTGTGCTGGACAATATCCCCGAGCATCCCCAGGGATTGGCCTCACGCGGCCCACGTCGAACGTGAGGTGAGGGCCTTGAAAGAGTTGCGCAGACCAGCACATCTCCAGGCCGGCTTCAGCAAGAAGATGTGGCCGATCTCCGTTGTTTACACTGCTAAAGCTCGTGCCTTGTGGTCGCCTTGTGTGATTCGCAAGCATGAGCGTGGGACGGAGATTGAGGAGCTCAAGACTGGCAAGACCCGTTGGGAGGTTTGCACAGGTGAGCCCTTTCTTGGAGTGAAGTACCCTCTTGGTGCACTTGTTTTCTACAGGGCCAAGAGCGATGGAATGGCCGCTCCAACTACAAGACCAGGCTTGTTTGCTGGATGGCGTGTTGACTCAGGCTTGCGATACCGCAATGTCGTACAAGTTGTTGACTATGAAGCTGTCCGTGCAAGAGCGCATTTGCATTGGAGTCCCAAGGACTTGCATGAGAAGGAGGTGTTTTTTCCTCCTGTTGAATACATTGAGTTTCCTTTGTCCAACGCGGCAATGAAGGCGTTGAAGGAAATGTCTGACCCTGATGTTGAGGTGAAGAAGAAGATCTATGACAGGTCTCTTGAGTCGGGCGTGCTCCCATATGACATTGACATTGATGCTTTTCCGGAAGATACCCCAGTTGCACCCCCACGTCATGCATACATTACTTTTTCACGTTTATTGGAGCATGGTTTTACGAAGGGTTGCCCTGGATGTGATGGTGGTCACTACCGCCACAATAAGGCATGTCGCGAGCGATTTGATGCCATCTTCCCTAGAGAAGCTGCAGCGCCACCTACACCGGCGCCAGATGTCGGAGCACCAAAGACACCTGGACCGCTTCCAATGCCTAAGAGTTCAGAGAAAACTTCTTCTTCCTCTTCCACAGGAGCAGTAGAGAAGGAACATTGGGTTGAGCCGGAGACCACTGAGGGTCCCGAGTACTCTCCTGATGAGCTTCCCGAGGGGTATGTCCCACCGGAAGACGTTGCGGCTGGGGTGTATGCCCTGGTGACGAGACAGCTCACCCGGAACGAAGTGTTGTCCCGACCTGATGCACTGCAGGCGATCCGTAAGGAGTTCGATGGTGTTGGTTCCATGGGAACATGGGAGCTTGAGTCGGTTGATGAAGAGTTCCGCGTGAAGGAGGCTGCATTGCAAAGTGGAGAGACGATTCACATTGCAGACTTGCTTGCTATTTGCAGCGAGAAGCACGTTGAGTTGGCTCCAGAGCTTCGCGCTCTGAAGGGTCGCGTGTGCTATCGTGGTGATTCTGCAAAGACGGCTGAAGGAAAGCTAGCACTTTACCAGACGTTAGCTGCGTCTCCTGCGTCTATAGTTGCAGCCAATAGCGTGATCTCTTTTGGTCTTTTTGAGGGACACAAGTTGTCGTCGGCAGACGCCGTCAAGGCGTATCTCCAATCGGAGTTGAAAAGTTTGGCTGCCACGTACATCCGTCTCCCAAGAGAGTTGTGGCCTGAGTCTTGGTTCACCCCAAGCGGCTACCCTCGCTTCAAAAGGCCAATTGCGCAAATCGCTATATGGACACCCAGAAGCTGGGGCCCATTGGCAACAGTTTCTTGAAGAACAGTTGTGTCTCTTAGGAGCAGTCAAGGTTGAAGAGTTTGCATCCACCTTCACCGTCCCCACCTTCGGAGGATTGGCATTGGTTGTCTACGTGGACGACTTGATTCTCTCAGGACCAAGTCAGTGGCACGAGCCTTTCTGGGAGGCGTTGGGTGAAAAGGTGTTGATTGATGACATTGGACCGTTGGGTCGCTTTCTTGGTCGACACCACTCCACTGTCGAGGTTGACAACACAGAGTTCTTTGGCTTTGACATGCGTGCTTACGCTGAGGCTACTGTTCAAGAGTATTTGAGGGTTGCGAACAGCCCAAAGATGAAAGTCGTCGCATCGCCATTTCTCAGCAAGGGGTTCGTTGGAGCAGAAGAGCGTGGTGCTCTGGCATCTTCAGCCAGTAGCATTCTGATGAGACTGATGTGGTTGGCACGCCTTGCTCGTCCCGACCTGCTGAGAGCTGTGACTTGGTTGGCAACCATGGTGCAGTCCTGGACGCAAGCTTGTGATGCGTACCTATACCGTGCCATGTGCTACCTCGAGTGCACCAAGAACGCTATGTTGCTTGGGCATGTGCGTGATGCGCCGGAACATGTGTTTGTTGAACTTTTCGCAGACGCAGACTACTGCGGAGACGATGAACACACCCACAGTACCACTGGCGGATGGCTACAGTTGTCTGGGCCGCCGACATCGTTTCCTTTGGCATGGCTGTCGAAGAAACAGACGGCTACTTGTCGAAGCACGACGGAGGCAGAGACTGTCGCATTGTCGTATGTGCTCTTTGAAGAGGGTTTGCCATTGGTCGAGTTGTATTCCGCAATGCTTGGACGTCCTGTGTTGTTGAGGCTTCGCGAAGACAACACTGCATGCGCGAAGGTCGTGACTGCTGGATACTCCAAGAAGTTGAGGCATCTCAAACGCGTACATCGCGTGAGTTTGGCTTCAGTGAAGGAGCAGTTGGATCGCGATGACGTGGAACTGAGCCTTGTTGGAACAAGCGACCAGAAAGCCGATGCTTTCACAAAAGCAGTGGAGCCTGCACTATGGCCCAAAACCCTCCAAAACCTTGGAGTGCACCTTGATGGATACACCATCAAACACACCTCAGGCACTGGCCTGAAGCTGGACAAACAGATGGCATTGCAGCCAGATACACCAACGACAGACGTAGCGACAGGACCTCAGGGCACGGCAGGCCCTACCCAGCCAGGGTACAAGAAACGGCAGAAACACAAGCCGAAGAGAATACCTCCGTACAGTGTGCCACAGAACCTTTCCGAACCAGCTGGATAGCCCGGGATTCAGAACTGATCCCAAGCCGTCGAGCAGCTCAGGAGTCAGAGGGGGGAGAAGAAATCCCTCAGCTAGAAACGCCCTCAAGAAGAACTGAGCTTTGAGTGAGGTGCACACTTCATGTATAGATGACACGTCATGTATAGTTGATGTCTAGGAGCACTTATCCAAGACTGGAATTGTCATGTAAAGACTTGCATCATCGGTAATCGGCTTTGCCGTTTGCACTGTGTCACTGGACGCCAACCTGATTTGGCTCAAGACTGGAAAAACTAAGGTTAGTTGCCCGCCATCGAAACGTCGCATCGACGGGTTGACGGGTTGATTGAACGTTGTGTTGAACTTCCAGGGAAGAGCAACTTATCTATTGTTTCATCATGCATCCGAAGGTTTTCTCTGTCCTTTCACTGTCCACACTGCTTTCTCTGCGAGGCAGATTAGCCCTGTTGGCCGTTTTCCTCTTTTGGATCCCGATCGTTGTTGCAATCTCTGGATGGACAACACTGAGTTCGATTCAGGGAACTGTGCCAGCGGTGGAGAAGTTTTTGGATGCACATCCAGCCCTTGCTAGCTTGATGTCTGGTGTCTTGGCCACAGCGGCCTTGAAGATCTTCATGATGTTTCTTCCTAGCGTGCTCCATTTTATCATCACAACTACTTTGCACTTAAAAGCTGGTAGTGTGGAGCAATTGAAACTTCAGCAGTGGAGCACAGCTTTCTTGCTTCTCTTCGTCGTTCTGGTGACCTCGCTGGGACGTGGGCTAACGATCACTTTCTTCATTGTCATGCAGGAGGGAACCTCAGACCTCTGGTATTGTTTCCAAAGACACAACGAGTATATATATATAGAAGGTTTCTTCAAGTTTCCTGACACGAGGAGCCAGCAAAAATCATAAGTTTGCCAGAGCCCAAGCTTCTGACAATATTTTTTGTTGCTGTACAATGTGGAATCTGCCAGGCTTGCAGCCTCCCTCCCCTCTGCTTCTCATTTCTACTTCAACTATGTCATCCTGGGATGGCTGGTTTTGCCCATGGATTTTCAGCAGCAGTGGGCGCTGCGCGGCGTTGCGCGGCGTTGCGCGGCGCTGCGACGCTTTTCAGTCATAATGCGGTGCCTCTAAGGATATGCTTCGTCTCGTGAACTTGGCACCTTGGCAGAGCAGCAGAGCGGAGCAGAGCAATGCAGAGCATGGCAGTGCCTCCTTTTGCCTCCGTTAGAGGCCAAATGGTTTTTCTACCGGCAAGTTTGCTCACTGGAGGCCAGACTCAAACGGAATATGATTCACGGATGATTCACGGTGAACTTACAATTATGCAACTCCATTGTGTTGCTTTTCCTGCCAGGAGGATGAGGCCAGATTGTACTCTGATCCAGAGGATCAAGCGTATTATGGCTTGGGGACTCGCATGGCCTGATACCTAGGACCTAGACGCCACCATAAGAGGAATGTTGTTATATTCAACGGACCTTGTTGCCCTTTGTTGAGGCCCGTACAGTCTTGATGGCCTCGATTTTCTACATTTTTTGCTCTTGCTCTCCGTTGATTTTGGTCTGCAGCTCAGTTGTTTCCCTTGTATTCGACTGTCCAATCCTGGGCAAAGACGCCACGATGCTTTAGGTCTTTACTTGGATCTACTTCTTCCTGGCACAGTTTGTTTTTGGCTATTTGCTCCTCTTTTGCGAGAGCAAGAAGCCAGACACAGGAGGAGTCTTCTGGGTGCAAGCCACGGAGCAACTCTTCTTGGTGCTCGCCATCTATGTATCTCGGCAGAAGGGAGTTCCTGAGTTCTTTTCTGCTTACATAGAAACCTAATAGCAATTGCCCCCAACCCAATTCAATAGCAATGGCCTTTAGGCAGTGCTTTTCGTATCTTTTCGTGTCCCTTTTGAGTTTTTGTTTACATCCATCCAAGACAGATCGCAGTGATTGAATCAGGTGATGCTTATGGTGGGCGTGCTGCGAGGTCTAACTCGAAATGGCATATGGGCCGGACCGCCAATGGCTACACTGGCGTCTTTGATGGTTCTTTATGTGGCCAGGCGACCCTTCTCCTGTTTTGTGACCCTCGTATCATGAAATGAGCTTTGGGCACCCAAATAGAAGGAGTTAAAGGCGGGAGAGAAGAATAGGTCCAAATTAAATAGGCAAAAACAGAAAAAACACACACAACAAAGCAAAAGAGAGCAAAAACGACTCAAGAGAAAATAGAGACCCTTTTGTAGTCTTTTCGAGATTCAGCAAAATCGATACCTTCAAACGCTTTGAACTATGAAAGAGTGAGCTGGGGAAGCAGCTCACCTCCTTCTGGAAAGGCATTTTGCATCCAGTTAGCATTTTTTTATCAGTCTGCTTTGCAACTTCCCCCCAAAAGGCGAGATCTGAAGAACTTAGCCTTCGACACCTTGCCGTTAGAGGAGGTCGTGAAGGCCTTCAAGGATAACAAGGACGGCAGAGTGAAGAGGTGACCCAGGGGTCACACAGAAAGAGTTTTGAAGATCAGTTGAAGACATTTTCTCTTTTGAAGCAGGCTGCGAGAAAAGTAAGAAAAGAAGCTAGTAGCTAGTAGTAGCAAGAGTTCGGGGGAAGCCTTCTTGAAAAACCTTCGCAATTCGGCAATTCGCAAGATTTTGTTCGGGAAACGTCCGTTGCAGCACTTCAGGACAACACGGAGTTGGCAAGCCAGCCTCTTGGGCTCAAGGGGATCAAAATGGACTCCCGGATTGCTTCAGATACACTATTTCGCTGATATGTGGGTATAGATGGATTTGCATCAATCATTACAGAGAGTAGAGAATATGAAGTTCAGAGCACTGCATTCAGAAATTCAGGCATTCCCAAGAGCTTCAATTTTGACTGGCATGTCCAAGGTACGTGCAACCTGAGTGCGATCCGTCACTAGTAGCTGACTAGCTTAAAGCTGGAGGGAGACCAAATTTGCGATGCAGAAATCTCACACAGAGTTGGACAATTTTGTGGTTGAGTCTTGCCATATGTAAGTGACAGGATTACACCTTTGTGCAGCTTGACAATGGCCTCAAAGCAATCATCGGATCTGATCCGAAATGCGATAAGGCACTCATTGCTGATAGCATGTGTTTTACAGGTCAAAGGTTCTTTTCCAACCCATCACAGCTTTCCCTCATGAACTCCATCTAGCTTTCGTTTGCAAGTCTTGATTGTGAATGCGTCGAAATGTGCACCAGTGCTCCTTCTCATTGGGACTTGGTACCATGAATCCAGATGTGAGACGCCTTGGTGTGTCCACAGGCAGGAGCTGGACTTTGTGTCAACGTGGGCATGTGCCACGAGAGGACCTGATGATGATTTGACAAATGGCTTTCTGCGAGCCAAGTTGTGCTGAGCCAGGAAAGATCTCCCCGGCCTAGCCCATTTCTTAGAACACATGCTTTTCACCGGCACGGCCAAGTATCCCAAAGAAGGCACGGGCCTCATGTCTTGGAGCTTTAGACTGATTCACATTTCCACCGCTGTCTCACCTTGTATCCGTGTGAAGGTGAGTACCACGAGTTCATCCAGCAGAACGGGGGATCAGCCAATGCGTATACTGCCTGCTATTTCACCAACTACATGCAGGCAACCCAGAATATGCATAGAAGCAGCATTTTCCGACTCGATCATCACCCAATGATATCTGAATCTTTAGGTTTGAGATCAAGCCAGAAGCTCTGGTGGAGGCAATGCCGGAGATATAGACGTCTAAGCTCAATGTTTGACTCTACCTGTTTGGCATGTCCGTCATGCTTTCCCTTTTGGCGAATAGCTTTTTAGCGTCAAAAGTAAACAAAGAAGAGCTGCGGATAGCTGCGGTGCTTGTTGTTGTCCATTTCTTCGAGTCTCACTCACTGGGACCTTCGAGCCCCGTTCGTAGCGTCCTTGCTCCTAGTAGTGATGCCAGGAGCCCCTAGTAGCTTCCTTGCTCCTATGCGGAATATTGATGTTATTGTTTGTTTTTGTTTACTAGAGATTATGTTGAGTTTTAGAATCTATGGATGTCCTTATACCTTTAAACCTCTTTAGGCCACTTTTGACTGTGGTGCAGGCCTTGGACCGCTTCGCAGGCTTCTTCATTGAACCGCTTCTGACGCGGGATTGCACTGAGCGCGAGATCAATGCGGCTCTGAGCCCCAAAGAGCTTGCGTAGTTGCACGGAAGAGACACATGCGAAGACATCTATTATAGAATGACTGATTACCATTCGATCCTTGTGCACTTGCACAACTCGAAGAACAAGCGAAGCTAAAGCTGGCAATGGTGGACGTACCAACTTTGTACCCAACACCGATTGGCCATGAGAGACCGAAAACAGAAGGCAAGGGCCCCTTCAACCAGAGCCCTTCAAAGGCCCTTATGAAGGAGCCCTGATCATTTTTAAATATAATATCAATATCTTAATCAGCATCTCTTCGCTATCAAGGTCGATTCAGAGTATCAAGCTGGCTTGACTTCGCCTTGGTGGCGCTATGCCATGCGCTTGTTAGCCGTCAGAATGACAAGATGTTCTGAACATGCGTTCAATGAAATTCAACGATTTCAGGATACTTCATATTTGATTGATACTCTATGTTGAAATCTATTACTATTGTAGGTCAATAAGTGAATTTTGCTCAGACGGCTTTTCCTCAGGTCGGCATCATGAACATGAGCGCTAATCCGGATCATCCCTTCCACGTGGCTGTTGGAAACAACAAGGCAAGGAGAATTACTATGCTGACTAGGTCGACCAGATCTGGAATAAAGCGGATTGGTGGTGTTCTCGACTGTTCTCTCTTCCAGTGTTCTTGCAAGTAGAGGCGGAAAAGAACAAAATAAAGACACAAAACAGAAAAAGGAAAGACTTAAGTTTCCTTAAAAATCTAGGAACAAAATTAATGGTGTGAGCTATCCTGTGGCCTAGGTAGCAGCTACTTGTTAGCTACTAGCTACCGTTTGCTTCTACTAGCTACCTAGCTACTACCTCTTCTCGGCCTACCCCCCCGGGCTTAAACAAAAAACATGTTTCTCGGAGAGGCCTAGTGGCCAAGACTTGAGACGATGTCGTTTCTTGCAATTTGTCATGCAGAGGTCTTGCTGGAAGAGCCGAAAGAGCGCGGGATTGACCTCTACGAAGAGATGAAGAAACTTTATGTTGCTATCTCAGTCTTGAGAGTGCTTGTGTTAATGTGTTTCCTTTTTCATATCCTCAGGAGTCTACTTACTCATCGAATGGAATGACGTGTGAGGCTTAATTGTTACAAGTTTAGCGTCAGCATCGTCAGCTCTGGACTACAACAGCGCTACTTGCGAGAAAAATAACAAGTTGTGTGATAGTATCGTTATTGGTGACCAGAGTTTTGCTCTTCAGGCTTTGTGTCTTTGGCAAAGAGTCAACGGCAGAGCTGGAGAAGATTCTGCGTGACAAGCGGCTGGCTGAGAGATGGAGCCGAAACGCGTTCACTTTCACGGTGTCAAAACCGACGGCCACAGTCATTTCTTTGGACATGACATGACATGAAATATGTCCAGCTATCTTGAAACACATCCAAGAGTTTTCACACTTTTGTGCCCGCCTGCCGAATCTGTTCTGGTGTGCTTGGAAACCAGAAAAAGGTACTCAGTGTAATTATTTGTGTGTCCATTCTTTCATGTGCACAGGGGTGTTAAACAGCGGATCGATTGAATGTCATTCCTCAATGACCTTTTAGAAGCTGTAACTTGTAATGACCACGCAAATGGCTTTTGCGTTGCCATGGCAGCCTTGTCGAAACGGCAAAGTGCCTGCCGTTCGCAAAGGCGCCTGACTTGGCTTCACAGAGCTACTTTCTTATTTTTGTTCTGTTTCCAAAATTCCCAAAGGTTTGGTGAAGACATATCACTATCACTACACCGACCCACAAAATCTAGGAACCAAATCATTAGTGCGAGCGCTTCTTCAAGGAAGCTCCCCCCGCCCTCTGACTCAGGGCGGGGGAACTTCCTTGAAGAAGCGTGAGCTATCCTGCGTCCTACCTAGGAGCGTCCTGTACCTACTAGCTACCTCTCCCTACTAGCTACCTAGCTACTACCTCACCTCTACCTACGGTCTATCCCCCTTAAAGAAACACCATCGTACTTCCGCTCTTTGGACGGTACAGGCCATCCATCTCGAATGCGGCGTAGCCTCATAGCAGATGCTGCTGCAGCCCTAATTGTAGGCAGGTGTTGCTTTCTAAACGGTAAACTCATGAAAACATGCAATGAAGGACATGCACGGAAATGCATTGAAGGTTTAGAGATTAAAGGAACCTTGACAACTCAGCCTTTGCTTCGTGCTACATTGGAGTTTCGTAGCCTTTAGCACTGCGCTCGGGAATGACACACACACAGACACTATGTAGTAATTCTAGCTTAACATAAACCTATGCTTGTCGCGGTAGTTTGACCGCGCCAGGCTTGGTGTTGGCTCTGTTGCTGGCGCCAATTGATCTTGCCATGCTGCGCTTGAGCCTCACATGCGGCCGAACCGGAAGTTGCACGTGACTACCATCATCCTACAAGAAACAACTCTTGACATTTTCGACAGATCTTCCTCCTGACTTGGAATGTCCGACAAAAATGAGGCGCTGGTAAGCCTGATGCACCAGGTGCACTTGCTTGCCTGTGGCAAGTTTTTGGTGACTGCTTCTTGTGGCTTTGGTTAAACTTGAGAAGAACTTGTGCACTTCGCTTCGGTCTTTTGACACTTCAGGCTACACCCATGTTCTCAATGAATACTCAGTCTGCTGAAGACTAAGGCGTCCAGGAACAGTTCTTCCTGCCATTGGCTTGACATGGCTTACTTTTGGCGGGACCTACGCGACAGCAAATGCTGTCCGAACTATTTGTGAGGAGAACCGTTGGCAACCAGCTTTGTATGTGTCTTGGCATGTCTTGGGTAGCAGCTCTCCAGACGCTGATTGCAACAGCCTCAGCTGCCTCAGCTCTCTACTAAGGTCTGGCTATGCACCACGACTGTCCAATGCGTCATCATGTGCTTGAAAGATGCCTTTCTTACAGGTGGCATTGCCCCACCCTTCGTTGCTTGTCATCTATGGGCTTTGACCAGTCAACACTGTTGTTTTTGATGACACGGCCATTCGAAGATCGGCCTGTGTGTGTCGCATACTGAGGACGCTGTGGTGGTTTGGGTTGCACGTGACCTCGTATTTTCTCTTGTGGTCTTTGTGATTCCAGAACCTCTCAGCAGATTCCTTGCATCCCGTGGCATCAAATCTCTTTGCGGTGTGCAGACACAGGCACATGTCTCAATTAATTGTTCCTTTGTTTGTGTGCTGTTCTTTCTTGAAGGTTGGAGGCCATCGCTATTAGGTTGGAGGCCATTGCTATTAGGTTGGAGGCCATTTGCAAGAAGTTTCAGGACCTGCTACAGATTTTGCTGCCACAACCACTGCAACTGATCACAACCCCTTTGCACTTCATGGGGGTCTCTATGGTGGCTGCCAGCACCTCACATTTGAAGCTTTCATTAGCTCAGCACCTGGCTGCAGCATTTCGAGAATTTTGGCTTCGAGTTGGCATTCGCTGTGTTAGAGTTCTGGTGCCCTACTGCTTTGGTGCTGTGGCAAACCGAAGACTCAGGACTGACAGAAGCATCAGCAACTGATAGACTGATAGACTACTGTAATACTTCACGCTTTCCCTCATACCGTGTCATACCATACCGTCTCATACCTTTGTTTCTGGGCTGCTGTACCTGAAAATAACATGAAAGCATATGAAAGCATGGCTCTGAGCCATGCAGTCTTACTGTTTGACGGCTACAAACCACAATCCGCAAGTAGTCTTGAACAACTTGTCTTTACCCCAAGCACTAGAGTTTGTCCTTGGCCTTCGGACATGGCAAATAAAAGCTTTCCTCTGTGCAAGATGAGAATGCCGTCCCGATCACAGCAACAGCAGGACGTACTTTGCAACATGTGGTCAGCAGAAGCAGCCACTGTCGCACTCTCAGAGAACATCAGGTAAGTCGGAAATGGAGGAAGTGTGTGCCAAAGACTCTGCAGTTTCCGAATGTTTCTGAGATTCCTTGGCCTTCGTCGACAAACAGTTTTTGTGAGGACACAGCACGGCATTGGCAGCATTCTGCATCACCAGTTTTCAGGTTTTCAGTTGTCGCTGAGGCTGCCAACTTCTATCTCAGCAGAAAGCCTAGTCAGATTGAAGATGGACTCAGATGTTTGATGATGACAGAACTCGACTGCCAAATCTTAATGACCGTTGCCATTCTACTAGGCTCGTCTTAGGAATGGGCTTGACCTTTCTGTGGAAGAGTGTATACAGGTGTTACAAGATCGCTTTGATTTGAGAAGTCTCTTCAGCTTTATTATCCTTGCAAATCCTGCAAATCTCTTGAATGTTTGAGGAGCGGGGCATTCCTACGTGCATCCCAGCGTGGCGTGCTTCGCGCCTGGCTGCTGTCATCAAGAATGCAGTCCTGATTGCCGTCGTGGCTGTCATGGCTCAACGGGGTCTTGCTTTGACAGGCCCTGCTGCTTGAACCTCAGGATCACGTCCATGTCTGCACGCTCACAAGAAAGGTACAGCGCAGGTAGAGCAACCGGTTCTTTGAGGCCATTTGCTCCTAGTAGTAAGGCCAGGAACCCCTAGTAGCTTCTTGTTACTAGAAGCAAGAATGCTCCTGATAGCGATGCCAGTAGCTCCTAGTAGCGTTTCTTCAATCTCTTGAGGCCATTTTGCTTGGAGCATCAATTGCAGCTCGGAGCACGCCTTCGCGCTCCAAATCTCTTTTGCCTATGGAGAGCAAAGTGTGAGGGCACAGCTTCCAATGACTCTGTAAAGGAGTCATATTTCAATATGCAAAAATGTGCAAGACTTCGATGCTAAGCTCGCTCTACTGATGTGGCACAGTGGATTCCAGTTGCTCAGTTTGCTTTGGGCCAATCAGAGCTAGGCGAGCTGAGCGTTGGCCGTTTTCATGTTTGTCCCTGCTTTTCCTGCCAAACATCTTGAAGGCAACTTCTAAGGACAGACATCACTAGCCGTTCTCCAAAGCATCCTTTGGATTTGACCAATGTGGCCTGTGACATGTGATTTAAGTTGAATTTAGAACTATTGAATGGATTTGAATGGTACTTGTCTTGACTTTGGAGAGCTTTTAATTGCCTCCATCTTCCCCACCTGGAGAGCAGACCTTCATTTCGAAGGCCCAGACCAAGGGGTCGAAATCTGCATCGTAGATGGATTCTTTCAATTTGTAGCCCAATCGGGACAGCATTCTCAGAGAGGGTCGTGGTTGCGCTCGGTTTCTTTCAAGAAACTGAGGCACCTTGCCGCAAGGAGACCAATCGCATACCTCTTAGCAATTGCACATGCATCACCCGGCACACGCTGCAAGTTCAGCAAACCAAAGCTGTGAGATAAAACCGACTGGCTGCGCTTGCTGTTTGTGGCAAGTTGGTGGGCACTTCGCACCATGGGCATGCTGCGGCATCCTTTGCCTTTGATAGTTAAGTTTCCCAAAAAATCTAGGAACCAAATCATTAGTCAAGCTTGAGCTATCTTGTGTCCAGTTACTGGAAGCTAACTAGTCACTCTGAACTTACGTAGGCGCTACTAAGTAAGGAGGCGGGGCCACAGGCTTTAAAAAATGGAATGGGCCCTTGCAGATTCTTGCTTTACGCCAAAGACAACTCACTTCCTAGCTTCCTAGGGCGACCTTCTCCACTTGCCATAGCTTCTTGTTGCTAGTAGTAAGAATGCTCCTAGTAGCGATGCCAGGAGCCCCTAGTAGCGTCCTCGCTCCTAGTAGTAAGGCCAGGAGCCCCTAGTAGCTTCTTGTTATTGCCCATAACTTCAGCCAAGGTTTGGTTCTATAAAGAACAAAGGGGTCAGCATGCCGATTGGGGACTCGGCCAGCACCTGAGCCAGTCTCAGAGCTAAGGCTTAAATTCGCAGGAGACTCGAGAATTTGTGATGCATTCAATGCATCGCATTGCATCACCCAGGTGTCAGAAAAGCCTCCTTTTCTGCCCTCAGAGTGGCATCAGCTGCTGTTGCAGAATCCAGTGCAGGATGTGAAGGCACCTGCAACAATGCTAGCTGGTTGTGTGGGAGAATAAACTGGCAAGATCTGCCAAGGACTTGACCTTCAGCTGGGTAATCCCCTACCAGGCACCACGAAATGGCTGTACAAGTTGTGCCGTGCCAAACATTTGCGCTGAAGCTGTGCCAAGGCTCCTCTTTGGCGATACAAGCCTGCACAATACATCAGACATTTGTGGCTTGGCCATTTGGACAGAGCTGCATCGGAGGGTTTGCATTCTATCGAATGCATTCGATAGCTCGTTTTGACCACTCAGGCTCGGCCATGAAGGCAAAGGATCGGTTTTGCACTCAGTTGCTCAATGCGTTTTGGTCGTCTTTGGAATCACGACCTCCGTCGCCATCCTTCAACCTATTCGACCCCTTTATTTCTTAGGCCGAGGGCGGGGGCAGAGGAGGTAAGCCACTGGCTAACAAGTAGCTACTAGCTTAAGAAGCTAATGTGAACATGTCATTATACAATGAACCATGAGACAATAACAATCAGCTTTTTGACCTGCCACGATTTTGCAATACTACTTTTAATTGCGCCAACATCCAGACCCCAAAATTGATTTAAACAATTGCTTTCAGAATGCTTTTTCTTTTCATTGTGTTTCTTTCCATTCTGCTTTCATTTGTTTTCATTGTGTCTCAGAAGCTTTAGGTTTGCTTATGCAACCCCTATCAAACAAATACAAACAACATATCTTCAAAGGGTACCCCTTTAGACTCCTACCCCCTACCACAAACCAACCTGCAATAATCAACCCCCCTGCAGCCCTGCTGGCTTATCCTTACCTTGTGCTTTCCCTTTTGCTTTTAACTTCTCCTATCGTCTTCTTCTTTATTTTTCTTTTTTTGTGGGTTCTTGTTTTATCTTTGCCCATCAGATTTTCCAAAACTTTGGCTAGCCAAAAGCTTTAGGTTTCCTTATGCAAACCCTATCAACCAAATACAAAAACATTATCTTCAAAGGGTACCCCTTTAGACTCCTACCCTCTGCAATTATAAACCGACCTGCAATAGTCAATCCCCCCCGCAGCCCTGCTGGCTTATCCTTGCTTTGTGCTTTCCCTGTTGCTTTTAACTTCTCCTATCTTCTTCTTCTTTATTTTCCTTTCTTTTTATTCTTTTGTGGGTTCTTGTCTTATCGTTGCCCATCAGATTTCCAAAAACTGTGGCTAGCCAAAAGCTTTAGGTTTCCTTATGCACGCCCTATCAAGCAAATACAAAAAAGTTATCTTCAAAGGATGCCCCTTTAGACTCCTACCCTCTGCAATTATAAACCAACCTGCAATAGTCAACCCCCCCGCAGCCCCGCTGGCATATCCTTGCCTGGTGCTTGAAAAGGAAAATGACGCCAACACCCACACTGCCTTCTTCTCACCAGAAAGGAAAAGTTCACAGTCACAAAGCACACACCTCTTGTTAGACATGTTTGCCAAATATAAAAATCCAGAAGTCACAGCCCAGACCCACAGATTCGCAAACTGCTGCCTGTGCAGGGCCCATGGTTTGAGTCGGATCTGAGGGCCTTGTCAGTCTTGGCTTGGTTGCATGCTGCTGAGGACCAGGAAGCCAGCCAACAACTAACCAAGCCACTTTCTGCACTTTTCATACTGGGGTCGTTTTGGTTTAAAGCACCCTCCCATGATCAAGAGACTGCTCAAAGGCCTGTGTGCTCAGTTTGTGCTGGTTGGTGCTTTTCGGTTTTGGTGGCTGAAAGGAAAACATGAACCCAGCTGCCAGGCATCGTGATTTCATATTTCTCCTTGCTGTCACATCCCTGTATAGTCTAGTGGTATCTGCGTCGTGATCAGAAGCCCGAGGTCCTGACGGCTGGCTGTTGTTTGTTAAGCCCTCTGGTGACAAGATGTCAAACCAGCGAGACCTGTTAGAGCAATGGAATCACTGCTTGTGTCTTCTGGCAACAGAAGCAATGTTTGCACAATCCTGCTTCCGTGCTCAGAACTGAGCAAAGACACCCCAAACTTACCCACAAAGCCCGTGAAGAGGACATGTTCTGTAGCATAGGACACACAGCTCGTGTCTTCTGGAGGCTCAGGCAGGGCGCAATCCTGCTTCCTTGCCCAGAACTCAGCCGAGCCGGCGTCCTCAGTCACAGCAGGCAGCCAGCCAACAACTGCTCAGTTTGCGCTGGTTGGTGCTTTTTGGCTTGGTGGCTTCAAGGAAAAGATGAGCTCAGCTGTCAGGCATACTGGCTTCATACTTCCTCCCTTGCTGTCACATCCCAGTATGGCCTAGTGGTATCAGCGCAGGGATCAGAAGCTAGCGGTCTTGGGCACAAGTCTGCTCATGTGCACTTTTTGACGCGCAAGTGCGCGCAGGTCTCTCTCCTGCCCCCACTCTCTCTTCTTCTTCTTCCTTCTTCCTCCGCCTCCTTCTTCTTCCTCCTTCGTCTTCCTTCTTTCTTCCTTCCTTTCTTTCCTTCCTTCCTCCCTTCCTTTCTTTTTTTCTTTAATTCTTTTTTCTTTATTTATTTCTTTATTCTTCTCTTTTCATTTTTTTCTTCTTGTTTCTTTTTCTTCTCAAAATGCAATGAAAGCAGAATGAAAGCAGAATGAAAGCAAAGGAAAGCAACATGAAAGCAAATGAAAGCAGAATGAAAGCAAAATAAAGCAGAATGAAAGCAACATGAAACACGAGAAAACAGCACGACAGCAAAATGCAAGCAAATGAAAGCAGAGTGAACGCAAATGAAAACCCTTTGCCAAATCCCCTCTGCCAAAAGTCCTGAAATTTTTCTATTGAGGTTGCGAGTTTTGACCTACCCTGAACAAGTTAAAAATAATGTTGTTGTTTTTCTTTTTCATAGGGGTGTTGTTAATGAGATGTTAACATTACTACTGATCAGACGCAGAAGGGCTTGATCTGGTTCCCAGAGTAGGTTGCAGGCCATCGCTAGTAGGTCGGAGGCCATCGCTAGTACCATGGCTAGCAGATTGGAGGCCATCGCTAGTAGGTTTTGAGGCCGACGCAGAAGGGCTCAGGCTTAATGATTTGGGCCCAGTTTTTTTGGGGGAAACTTCAACTTCTTTCTTTGTAGTCGAGGTCATCGCAGCGTTAAAGCAACAAGGGCCGCTTGGCAAATCATGGATGCTTGTAAATCCATACCGCATGGCTTGCTCCGAATATGATCCGATTAAATCCATTATTCCTTATGGTTTTGCCTCCCTTCGTATTTGGCAGTTCAGGCTGATAGTAGGATGCGGCGCTGGTGATGGTGGATGGCTGGAGACATGTCAGCCAGACAACAAGCGCTTAGTTTCCTAAGATTTAGTTGCTTGCACTCTCTTGAATCTCTCAGGAGGGAGCATTTAGTTTGCTGAACGTAACCTTTGAGCTCACTGACAAGGGCTTGGATGCTGTTGAAGAAATCGGGTTGGAATTCTCAGTTTGTCACGAATGCAGCAGATCGACTTGCGTAATGCTTCAATATGAACGTTTTAATCGCAAAGTACTTTTCCAAGGCGCTACCTGTTTGCATATCTTGGAATGCCCAGATCCTAGATTCAGAGCAAGTGCATGGCTTTGCAGAGCCATCTTCATTCCCAATGGAAGGCTTCAAAAGTCGACACCAGAGAAGTGGATTTTTGATGAGGCGCAGAGGCACGATTTTCATCAGGGATTCTTAAGTTCATTCAGCTGGCATTCCAGCATTCCCTCTTGATAGGCTGTCAGATATCACCTTCAAGTTCAAGGAGGTGTTTTGGAATTGATGGATTACTATCCTAGTCAATGTGCAACCATGACTTTCATAGGATGCTCGTCCTTTCCAACTGTGCCCCGCAATTGCGCTATCCTTGCACCAGTTCCCGTGACTAAGCAGCAAAGAAGCTGGAGAGGCGAGTTTTTGTTTGTCTATCTATCGCTCTTCTCTCTCTCTCTCTCTCCACACGAAATCAAGGCCATCTGAAGCACTATGTGGCGGTATCCTTCAGTACGAGTGTCTTGGATGAATCCTCAGCCCAGGAGAGGCTCTTAGGTTGGAGGCCATCGCTCTTAGGTTGGAGGCCATGGCTATAGTAGGTTGGAGGCCATCGCTATAGTAGGTTGGAGGCCATCGCTAGTAGGTTGGAGGCCATCGCTAGTAGGTTGGAGGCCTTCGCTATAGTAGGTTGGAGGCCATTGCTAGTAGGTTGGAGGCCATTGCTAGTAGGTTGGAGGCCTTCGCTAGTAGGTTGGAGGCCATCGCTAGTAGGTTGGAGGCCATTGCTAGTAGGTTGGAGGCCATCGCTTCTAGGTTGGAGGCCATCGCTATAGTAGGTTGGAGGCCAT